GAACTCCTAAATCAGAAGTTTTGGTGCATCGCGAAAAAATCCCAAAAAGTACGTCTATCCCCGGCGTACGCGCATCCCTGCCTAAGTTCCCCTCTGAGCTAGTGCCGACGATTGAGGCAGGGAAGCAGAACGTGCAATGCTGAGCGCTTGAGTTCTTCAGACACGCGAAGACTGGACATGTGGCCTAATTTGTGCATTCGGTGCATGGCCAAGACAAGCAATCGGTAGGAGCCTGAAGTCGCTACCTGGAAAAACCAAAGCGAGGGCACGAGGTTTTCCGGATAGCAGGTCGCTATAGAGTGAAACAGGATTCATGGTCGCCTCCAGCAGCCTAAAGTTTCCCTCAAGAATCGAGAGAGGCGTCCCTCTGGGGGCGTTTCAGGACTAGCCTCAAGAAGCATGTTGACTATTTCATCATGGCCCGCGGATGATGCTAGAATCATCGCAGTACTGTCACGATAGTCGCGACGGCCAACGATCTGCCTGAGCGTCAAAAGCAGACGTACAATCTGGACATGTCCTCGCATAGCGGCACTTGTCAGTGCGTCATGCCCAGCTTGATTGCGAATTTCCTTGTCAGCTCCACGTTGCATCAGAAGGCGTACGGTCTCGATGTGGCCGTTGTCTGATGCAAGAATGAGAGCCGTGTTACCGTGATTGTCGCAAGAATCTGCTTCAGCGTAGGCATCCAAGAGCACCCTTGCAGCCTGCAAGTTGCCTCTCTCGGCAGCAACGAGCAAAGGAGTCTTGCCCTGAGGGTCCTGGAAATCGGAGTCGGCATGAGCACCCAGCAGCACGCTTGCAATATCGGAGTGGCCCCGGTAGGACGCGATGAAAAGGGCCGAGTTGCCGGTCTCAGGATCACAGGCGTCGCAACTAACACCGGCTTTCAAAAGAACAAGAAGAACCTCCAAATGACGCCGCTCGCATGCACGAATGATGGACACGTCGCCAGCACGTCCATGCAAGTCCTTATGGGCACCGGCTTTCACCAACAGGCGCACAACCTGATCGTATCCGTGGCCCGATGCGAGCATGAGAGCAGTGTTGCCACCGCGATCCTGCAGCTCCGTGCTGGCTCGCGAACTCAAGAGCAAGCTGACAAGCTCAATGTGGTTGCTGCCGGATGCTGCCAGCAAAGCTGTGCTCCCGCTGGAAGCATCGTACAAATCCTTGTCAACTCCCCCTTTTAGCATCCTGGCCGCCACCTCAGCGCTACTTTGCCGCGCAGCGTATCCTACGAGCTCACTTGCAATCTCCGCCTTCTGACTCGGGTTCAAATCATCGGGAACCGATGCCAATGTGAGATGCAAGTCCATGGGCTTATCCAGCTGTGCAGAGTCGTCCAAACTTCTGCCTTCGTATGCAAGCTGCTGCAAGCATAGCGGAAAGCCGTGCAACGTCCGAAGTGACTGCTTGAGTGCTGCCACATCCTTTAGCTCACCAGTCGGCGTGGCGAACACCTCGTCCCCAGAATCGCTCCAAACCCGGAGCATCCGGTTCCAGGGCCAAGTTGTGGCAATGCTTGCATAGCCCCGCTACAGACCTCTTAGCCTGTTTGTCTGGAGTTGCTTTGCTGAATGCTCTGATGTGCTGTGACACCCGACAGCTATCAGCCTATTGAACTGCGCGGAGCCTCCCGCGGCGAACCAGAAAGTCGGCAAGTACAAAACTTCGGGTCTTCGCTTGCCATCACCAACAAGCCTGTCTTGAGCAGTGCAACGTGCAACCACTCAGATGCTCTCCACCGAGCTACCATATATGCTATACTATAGCATCTTTGACTATACTATATGACTATAGTCATATATATATATATGTATTACATCATAATGACCAAAGTCTGCAGCCCACGAGTTGAGGGCAGAACGATGCATCATGCATGTGCACACACAAAGAATGCCGGGCCGGAGGTCCTGGTCGTCCAGCACCACACCTGGAGAGACCCCCCTTTTAGGGGTTCCTTTATGGGGGGTCTTTAGGGTTTAGGGGATTCCTTTAAGGGGGTTTACGACACCTGGGCGCAGCCTACAAACCCTACAAATCCTAAGCCCTAAACCCTCTAAGTCCTATAAATCCTAAACCTTAAAACCCTCTAAGTCCTAAAATCCCAAACCCCAAACCCTCTGGGCCCTAAAATCCCAAACCCTAAACCGTCTAAGCCCTAAAATCCTAAACCCTAAATTACCTGAAAGCTCGTGTCTGCTAAGCTGCCGAGAATCCCGAGCTTCCCGGTATGGCGCCTTTTAAGCTACTATGGAATTATAGGAGCCTTCATATCAGAACAGTATGCCGTAGGGCTCCTAATCATATATACTGTAGTATAACATGCCGCCATAACCTTTATCTTAGCTTGATCAGTGAGGCCCCTATATTCAAGCCTTATAGCCTTGTAGTATCCTTACGATAACCTACCCGATAACCCTTTATTCAGCTGCTAACAGCCAAAACAGTTTGCACTTGCAGTTCTATAGGGGATACGATTCTCCCAGAAACAGTAGCGTGCACTCATTCGGCTACTAAGTTAACGGGAACCCTGAAAAGTGACACTGCTCTAATTATTCGGCCCCCTATAGTACACTATGTGCTTGGGGTTTAGGATATGTTACTTACACTCTCCACCTGGAGTCGGGACCTGCTGGAAATCCAAGACCAGATAGAAGGACGAGTCCGTTTAAGGATTATAGTATGGCAACGTTTACTGCAAGGACTTAGTAGGGCCTTAACAGTTAGAATACGGTTTTTGAGTGCGTGCGTTTGCACTGTTGGGCAACTTCTGCACACCTTAGGCAATTCTGGAAGCTGAAACTGAACATTAGACCCTGAACCCTACACCCAAACCCTAAAACCTCAGCGTAGCACAACCGATACATCTAAGCATAGCCAGCCGCTCAAGCTTCTATAGAATCTCCAGGACTCAGCTCTGTCCTTCCATCAACTTTACATTTCATTATACCACATTGTACTCGCTTGTATTATTATGCGGCAGTAGAATACATTCTACTACATCCTCGCGAAATCACGTTGATTAACTGAGGTCCTGAATCTCTATCAAAAAACGCGAAATCCGAAATCTACAAGTGCATCATTTGTGCAGACGAGACACAAGTCTCCACGGCCTGAGCAACCCAAGACTTTCTGAGGCTTAGGTCAAAACAGGTCCCGAGAAAGTGTTTGGCGATTTAAAGCAAAAGTGACATTGAGAGCTCAGGACAGAGGATATCAGTTGCACGTGTGCTCTGTGCACTCACAACCCAAAACCCGAAACCATTTTCCCTAAATCCAGGCAAGGAGACCCCACACCCTCGACCCGTGAAGTTTGTGTCTGGAGGACACTGAAGCCTGGCTTCAACGCAAAGCCCAAAGAAGGTTGAGGCCTAGCCATTTCGCAGACGACCCTCAAAGCTAGGGCGAATAGAGAAACATGGTTCGGATCACGCCGATTGTCATTAAGAGGTTAGGGCACCGACCCGGAAAAAGACACAAAGACGAGCCAGAAGAACGCCATTCCATTGCTCGTCTTGTATGGCTTCTTTTGGGCCCTGTCATGCCCTGCCTCTGCTTCACGAAGCCAGTCGAGAATTTCCTGATGTGCTTTGGTTTCTGCAATGTAAGATCTCATGACGTCGATTGAATTCTGTTTCACAGACAAGGATCCGGCTTTGCTCATTAACCCGGAGCTTCTAAGATCAGGTTCCCGGTTCTCAGATCGTTCTATGATGTCCAACTTTACAGTAAGGGAAGACGAGCAAACTCGACTGCTTTTGTGGCCGTTACTCCCAGTCGGCTTCTCGTGCCCTTGGCCCCCCACCGACGATAACCTCATCTCTCCCCTATCGAACTGGAAAGGTTCTTTGGGCAGACACAAAGCTCCCCGTCACTCATGCTAGGTGGTCCCGGCCGTAGGCTGCGACCACCTGCGTTTAGCAATTTTGCTGTTGATCGAAGTTGTCGCCGTAGTAGTGGCAGTGTTCTGCACAGGACCGAAACCCAAAGAGTCCCAAAGAGCCACCCATTTCTAATCCAGGAGGCTTCTGCTCGGGAGGCATGGACGAAGCTGCTGTCCCGCCGGGTGGTGTCATACCTCGCCAGAGTTGAACAAGAGGGCAAGATCTAGGACCCCAGGATTAAGGGCTCGTAAGGGCGGTGCTGGGGAGCAAAGGTGGCATCAAGTCAAGCAGCTTGCCCCCAACACCACCCGAAGTAACTTCCACCTCTCGCACGTCATTTTGGGTTGCAGGCATTCTTCGCAGGGTGCTGTGTTCGAGCACGATAAGACTCGTCTAGCAGTCTTGGTGGCGCAGCACTTTGAAACCTTCGATAGCCCCGAGCAAGCTTCGTGATGCGCATCCGCGTCGAGGGTGTCCCTCTCATCGAAGAGACATCTTTGCCGATCACAGCACATCCGAAACGTCGAAAAAGCCATGAGCTCCAAAGCACGCATGTAGATTGGAAGAACAACACCAAGACCCGCCCTTACTCCACAACTTGGTCCAGGCGCAGCTCGAGCCCCACTCTTTCAATCTGCCGGCGCACTTCCTCACACAGAAAAGGCTGAAGGTACTCCGTCCTCTGTGCTTCGGGTTTCCTATAGGCTTGAACAAGGATTTGATTTCAGGGCTCTACAAATTTTAGGGGCATTCAGGGGCTTTCCGTTCCGGAGTCAGCCAGCATAGAGTGTCAGATGTTTTCATCTGTCTAGGTAGTCAGCAACGTTGCCTCTTCTGGCTAGGGATCCTCAATCACAGGGGGGAACCAAATGATCAACAGCTTAGCATCCCATCGAGGCTCGAACAATTAATTCGTCTTGGACCGCCTGGACTCTCAAATCCTCAGATTCTTTCTTGCGCAAAGGTTTTGGAGCATCGCTTTGTGAAAGACGAGCCCTTGAGCGTTCGTGTCAGAGGGAAGCCGCTACCACAGACCTACATAAACTACTGGCGAGTTGCACCAAGTTACACAGCACTCGCGGGCAATGATTATTCGGGAAAGCAGGAGGCCACGCAACATGTACTGTCATGTCTGTATACCGGCTCCATAGCTGGAGGTCGCGCTTTGGGCTTCTAGCGACCATCAGAAAATGCCTGCAGACCTGCATGCATTGGATGTTGCTCCAAGTAGTACTTCGACAAGTGCGCAGGGACGATGACTTATAACACATTCGAAAGGCTGTGCGTTGCGGCTGTTATCTGCTGATCTTTCTTCTACATAATTCAACGCTGCAAAGACATCGCAAGACGGTTTCAAAGCATCTGAGAGAGCATGCTCACTGCGGGATCTTTCTTGAAATTGAGGGACGAGATCTTGTAAACACGAGTTTGCGATACAAAGGAGACCCAAGGACCCTTTTGTCGGAAAGTGCTCGGGGTATTGTATACAATAGAAGTTTAGGACTAAGAAGAAATACCACTACTAGTACTGCTGCTGCTGCTGCTCCTACTCCTACTCCCACTCCCACTCCCACTCGCACTCCCACTCGTCCTACTACTACTACTACTACTACTACTACTGCTACTACTACTACTACTACGACGACGACGACGACGACGACTACTACTACACCACCATTACTATTTCTTTAGATCCTTGTAGTTTTTCGAGCCGAGGCGCCGCAAGTGCCTCCTCCTCCAGGCGCCAGGACGAAGACAGAACGATCCTTATGGTCAGGTACAAGTGAGTACGAACACAAGTAGCACTCATTCAAATTCTAACGACAATGTACAAGGATGCTGACAGGATTTTGGTATATGTTACTTATGTTATAGTATATTGTAGAAGGGCATAGCAGACTAACCCACCTCAACCCTAGATCTTCAACCCAAATCCCAAGTCGCCGTCATGACCTAACGCCCTGTTCGGATGTCTCGTTTTGCACGGTGCAGGTCCTCAGGAATTACTGTCCGGAAGTTTGCCATATCCCTCCCGGGCCCAAACTAACGGCAGCTCTTTGCTCTAAGCACAATGGGGAAACCGCCGAACAAGGCTCTTCTCGCGATGCATCCCTCAAACCTCTGCCCAGGTGGACTCCTCGGTAAAACACAAACAGAATCGAGCCATCAACTCCCCTCTACTCTGTAGCAGGCGAAGTCGCTCCAAACCCGAACTTCCCGCACCCTGAGTCCCTGCACCGGAGCCCAAAAGCTAGCTTGCAGCCCTCTTTAGGAATACTCGGGGCCACATGAAATACACAGTGGCACCTGTGAGTCCCAAAGTCCTGACAGAAGCGAGGGTACGTGTAGAGTTACGTATTGTTTATTTTGATTATGAGAAGCCCCGACTCCCACACCCAAAAATCTAAACACACTTTCAATGTGTTAAAGCCCCAATATCCCCGAACGAAAAGGGACCCAAACTCAGGGAAACCGGGGCACTTCGCCCCGGTGGCAGCAACGATGCGGCAAAGCCGCTGCAGACAGGGCTCCAGGAAAAGGTCCTACGTAAACGGCTTCGACTCTGACACTCGCAAGAGGCAGACATAGCTTCAGACGATCCAAGT